CTCTGAAAGGTGGAGCCAAGTGTAGTACATTGACAGTGTTGGCCTTGTACATGCCAGTAAGGCTGCCCACATCCCTCCTGTGTTGAAGGTTCTGTTGAAATGACAGATCTGTCCAGGTCAGGTCCAGGTGAGGGATCAGTTGTTTTGCTCTGTACTCTATTCTGCCAAGAAGTTGCAAGTGAGGCGAGGGGCAGGGAATCCAGGAAAGTGGAACATACTCAAGGTGTAAGCGTACTTGTGCCTCGTACAGAATCTTGCAACCTTTACTATCGAGATATGTCTAAGTGCTGTAAGCTTCCTGGGCACGTTGTCAAAGAGATTTAAATTGTGGTTCTTCATAGTTTGGAGTAAAATTTTACCCCAAGGATGTCAACTACTTCCCTGGATGCCAGCACTCTTCCATTCATTCTTGCCACTGCTCCAGCATAACCATCATGGTTCCTAGTTACCATCACCACGTGTTTTCTGAGGAGCAAATGTGAATTGCCATTGCCATTCCAGGCTGATATAACTGTAAGCTGGTGAATGATGTAACATAGAGCAGCTGGCATTTCCTCTCTTGGATAAGTAAATGTCAGAGTACAGTAGTTGGTATATGCATGGGATTCTGGGATGAGTTGAAGAAGGTCATTGAAGTAGACATTCCATAACAATGGCCCAAGTGCACTTCCCAGTGGAGCACTTGTACCAATAAAGTGTCTTTGTTTCTCTTTCTCTCTTTCTCTTTCTCTTTCTTTCTCTTTCTCTCTTTCTCTTTCTCTTTCTCTCTTTCTCTTTCTCTCTGTTTATCTCTTTCATTCTTTTCTCTCTCTTCTCTTTTGCTCTCTTTTTCTCCCTCTTTTTCTTTCTGTTGCTCCCTCTCTTTTTCTTTGGCTCACTTGCTTTTTCTTTCTCTTTTGCTCCCTTTTTCTTTCTCTTTTTCTCTTTCAATTTCTGTTTCTTTTTTTTATACAGGGTTTGACAAAATTAGATTAAAGGTCCCTGACTTTATTAACAAGTTTAGGATTCCTAATGTTATTGACAGACTGAGAGCTGTTACCTACATCAGCTCATTTGAAAGCATTTTCATTGTTATGAAACATACAAGTAGTGAACAGGATGAAGTTTGAGCCATCTGTGGGCCAGCATTTTCATTTGATCACCTGACTATCTCGTTGATATCATTATGCTGTAAAACATGTTTCAGACTTGAGTCATCCTGGGGATAAATGATCTCAGGTGAGGTGATGTTCTGGAGAAGGGTACAGCCAGAGTGAAGTTGCTGCTTTCTGCCCATCTTGTGGTATAGAAGCTTGCTTTCCGCTGTCCTCAAAGTGGAGCCAAGTGTGGTACTTTGACGATGTTGGCCTTGTACATAATAGTAAGGCCCCCACATCCCTCCTGTGTTGAAGGCTCTGCTGAAATGACAGATCTATCCAGGATGGGTCCTGGCGAAAGATGAGGCGTCTTGCTCTGTTCTCTACTCAGTCAAGCAGTCACAGATGAGATGGGGGTAGGCAAATCATACCATACCATACCATACTCAAGGTGTGAGCGTACTTGTGCCTCATACAGAATCTTGTAACCCCTGCTGTAGAGCAAATGCAAGATACAGTGGAACCTTGACTTATGAGTGTCCCAATGTATGAGTTGTTGTTTGCTCTGAGCTACAAGCCAAAATCCGAGTTATGAGCAAGCTTCCCTCTCGACTCTCAATCTGCATCTCACTTGCTTTTATCTATGATTTCATGCTTTAATTCCATGGACATCATCCTCTTTTTATTCTCAGCACTGTCCTTTGCACTTATTTTCTTAGGACCCATGGATAGAAAAAATAAATTTGGCAAAATAACTACAAAATGCAGGCAAAGCACGAGAGAAATGCTTCCATTGCTCAGCAGATGTTTTGGCATTAGCTGCACCAACTAGTGGTGGCCCTCTGAAGCTCCTTGTTAGTGTTATTATTATTATTATTATTAATTTAGGGAACTGGAACACAGATCGAATTCCCTAGATCAGAGCCCTTCACCAGCGTCAGGGTTCCTTGACGCTGGTGAAGGGCTCTTGATCTAGGAAATTGGATCTGTGCTCCGGTTCCCTAAATTAATAATATAATAATAATACAGGTTGGCCATCACTAATCTGGCAATCAGTTATCTGGTTCCATCAGTAATCCATCACTAATTTCAACTAGCATAATTACAAATTTCATCATTATACTGACTCAAAAATTATGCAGATGGTTGTAAATCCACAGCAGCAAGCCAGTGGAGGAGAAAGCAGTGATAAAAATGAGGATGATGTAGCAGATAGAATCTCTGTTCATAAGTTAATTAAGTGTATTCTAACTTAACCACTCTGTAATCCGGCAAACTCACTAATCCGGCACACTACAGGTCCTAATGATGCCAGATTAATGATGGCCGACCTCTTGGCAAGAGGCATGGAGTTAAAAGATAAAGAATCACACATAAAGTGGGAGTTGTCACAGTTGCTCTTTGCTGATGACACTGTGCTCTTGGGAGATTCTGAAGAGAAGCTGCAGAGATTGGTGGATGAATTTGGTAGGGTGTGCAAAAGAAGAAAATTAAAAGTGAATACAGGAAAGAGTAAGGTAATGAGGATAACAAAAAGATTAGGTGATGAAAGATTGGATATCAGATTGGAGG